AATCCACGAATCATGCAGCTAAGTATGTATTAGGCTATCCCATAAGTTAGTGCCACTTTTTTGCACCTCATGCCACAACTTCATTTAGCGATTTCTGAATATGACCTAGTAGGCTACGAGAAACCCACTTTGTGTAGTGACCAGTACGTGAACCAGGCCCGCAGCTGCTTTCTACGGATTAAAAATCGAAAAAGAAGAGAGCCATGTTGTCCACACTTTGATTACTAGGCCGCAAATTGGTCGAAGCCAGGAGCAGCATTTATATTGCATAACATCTGCTTGTTCTCGTTCATCATCAGTATCAAAATGGTCAAGTCTGCTTCGCGCTGAAGACTGCAGTCTCGAGAAAATCCTGACCGGGGAGGGCGATTGGTGGCCGTGAACCTGCTGTGCTCTACCATTGAAGGCAACCCGCACGAATTGTTTGCCGGGAACACCCTCATCAGACATTTCAGACACACGGTGGATTGAGGTCTGCCCTCTTTTAGAATCTTGTAGAGGCTTAGACAAAGAATCCCCATGAATTGATCCGTCATCACAGAGTGCCACCACGAGTCTGTCAAATCTTCTATCCTATTCAAGTCAACGCGGTGGCTAGTGTAGAAAACCCACTTGGGCACCAAATCAATAAATTATTGTTCGCTTCCATGACAACGAAGACATGAGTTTCGGAATAAGTTATTAACGAATTAGTTACGCCGATGTGGCCGATGTCAGACTTTGCGAATCGCGCGATTCGCTAGCGTCTGCGGTCGCGTCGCGGCCAGTGAATCACTCAATTGGCTGGTACCGCAACGCGACCGCGGACGCTAGCGAATCGCGCGATTCGCAAAGTCTGACATCGGCCTACCAATCCACCGTGCAGCGGTAATCAGCCTCCTCTGGAAGGCCAACTACTCTTCTTGCTAAGGAATCACCTTACATACAAAAATACGATTTAAAGAAGGAGCTCGAAATCGACCTCACTGCCTTTTCCAGCTTGAAACTGCCGACCTTCTAGGAGCACGGCGTCGACACTCTGGTGGATCGTTGGCAACAAGTCACTGATAGTGACGGTCCATATATGATGATGGATATTGCTTTTTGTTGAGATAAGCCCAAACTCAAAAAAAGTTCGAAAGTGGCACGAACTTTTGGGACAACGTTATATATTGCATCATTTCGAGGAGACGGGAAAACATGCAGTGACCACAAGGAATCGACTCTCATAATATACAACTTGATGAATGAAGGAATGTCGTACATCCTGTTCTATGGTATATGAGCCATCCCAGTGTATAGGCCCTCTGGTTTACACCATGAAAATTTTGTTGGTGAACGAATTTTGTTCGGGTTTTTGTTTTGAAATTTGGCACTATTTACCCTTTACTGCCCCACTCCTCAAGAACTGAGCCGGATTTTGATCGAAATTCGTCCATGACTGTGGATTTGGCTAGAAACTTGTTCCAGGGGTATTTCGACCCGTACACGAATATCACACCGGTTTAGCGCGAAAACGCTTGGCGCCCGCGCCACAGGCGCCGGCGCTATCACAACAGTTTTGCGCGGGCGCCCGTAGCGCAGGCTACAGGCTCACTCGCAACGAACTAATGTGATATTCATGTTCTACGGGTCAAAGTACCTCTGAAGACAAGTTTCCAGCGAATTTGGTGATCCGAGATGTTCTGGCGCCTTTGGCGCCGGCGCTTCTGGCGCGAGCGCCAGGCGTTCTAGCGGTAAATGATATTCGTGTTCTACGGGTCGAATTACCCCTGAAGGCAAGTTTCTAGCCAAATCCACAGTCATGGACCAATTTCGATAAAAACCCGGCTCAGTTCTCGAGGAGTGGGGCAGCAAAGGGTAAGATAGTGCCTGAGATTTCCCTGTAAATGATGAAACGATTCAAATGGTTTTGCCAAACAAGAAGAAGATGGTACTCCAAACCCTGCCAAAAAGTGCGAACGGGACTATTTCTGGATCGGTAACTTTTCTGAGCAACAGAACAATTCGAGAGGTTGCTAGAAAACTTAAGACTTAAAATTATCATGCTTGCTTCAGTTCTCCACAACAATGGATCTGAATAAAGTTATATACTAGTTGTAGATACTCAAATTCGCATGTACACGAAAACTGAACAAGCATGTAACTTTTTGATCGGTGAATTTTTAGGAAAATTTGAGCAAGTTTTGTACCGGCTCATAAGACCTTCCTTTTACACCATGAATTAAAATAAAGGAAATCTAAACAAATTAAATCTCTCAACTATAAGGTTTTTAAGGTGTACAAACCCCATGATGCATGAGCCCGGGCTTATCTGCCGTAAATAGGCCACATTTGTTTCTTCTAATCTAATCTAGTTAGCATCCCAAAGCATGTGAATCCAGTCAAACATAAAAGACCTGCCGAGAGTCAATTCGAGCAAGTCTACGTCATTTTGTGTGCAGGAAAACACCAAAAACCTTGAGACTGGGTGTTCCCAACCCACAGAGAGGCACCAGAAAGCATGAAAAGACGGGGGCGAGCGTTAACATGAGTTGTCGAAGCGAATTCCAATCGAACTAAAATAAAGTCGTTTGCTCTTTCCATAAGAACTTGGTCAACTGAGGGAAGCTTCAATACTCCTACCGAGACGTGCCAAGGAATAGGTTACTGATTAGCGCTTGTGCCTAAACCGAGTTTTTATGGCTGCTAATTGAGAAAATCAGAATATTGATCGATAGTTCCGAGCTGTTACATGACGCGCACGTTAAAACAGCAAGCCAGTCATCGTGGTCTGCAGATGTTATACATATTATTGATCCAACCCGTGCCATAGGGAATTATCACAGATCGGCAAAACCTGCGAAGTCGAATTTTGAGTGTCGTTGAAATGGGAAATCGCGAAGTCGACGCCTAGGTTTTGTGGTTCTATGATCATAAACAATGAAGAGGTAGCTATCCTGAATCGTAGCAGTTCCTCTGTTATTGTCAATTGGTACACTCTGTTCATGAAGCAACTACATAAGAGTATTTCCCTTTCATTTCTGTTCTGGTGACCTGATCAGATCCTGATTTTTGAGCTCCTTGTCACTGATTCTATCGAGATCAATCCAATAGCTCTCTAATGAATAGAATGGACAGACTATGGATGTTTCACTCATTATGCCTCATTGGTTGATTCCTCATTCGGCCATAATTGGTTTCCTGGTGACCACTCCTCATCGAGCAACATCTTGCCGAAAAGGACCATCATCATGACTGGTTATGAATGGAGTTGTTGTTATCGCTAGTGCATTAGGAGAGTGCATCGCGATGAGAATCGATTAGGCCTTCGAATCCTAGACATTTCTCATTCTCAGACTTCATTTTAACCCTTTCGGCTTTGGCGGTGGCAATTGCCACCATCAAATTCAAATGTCTGCATTACCGCTGCAACAGCATACTTTATAATCCTGCTAGAGGTCTTGCTTCAGTCGGGGGACGGAAAATGCTCACCGGCGACGCGGACGCGAGCGCGTGCAAATGACGTCACAGGTGCGGCAACGGCGATGAGAAGACAGGGCAGAAAACGTCGTTGCCACTCTGCTTGAATAGTAAAACGGTTTCGGCACCTACCCAACTAATGCAATCACCAATGCCGTGAGCTAAGTGATTGTATTACCAATAGGTGCAATTTTCGCCCCCAAAATTTAGAATTTGTTTATGAATGTAGAAATCAACGGTTTCGTGTGTAAACCTGACGAGTGCGCAATTAATTCAAAGCCATTCTTTTTTTCAATAAGTCATTCTGCGTTATCACTCCTACTCA